CACACACACACACACACACACACACACACACACACACACACACACACACACACACACGGTCACACGGTCACACGGTCACACTCTCTCTTTTTTTCAGAACTCAGACATGATGACAGTGGGTGTGTCAGGCTTGCAGGTGGACAAAGTACAAGGTCTATGTTGTGTGTTACTGTGTGTGTGTTCAGACTATTACTTCTCTATGCTAGACAGTTACCACTCCTTGTTTTTACAACATGGACCGGAGTGTTGGGCCGTAAACAAAGACCTGCCGCTGCTGGTTCACACAAGTTCACACAAGGTCACAGCTGATGTCACTCCAGCCCCTATACTCATCACGTATGAGTTTATGTGTGAGTATGTGCGTGCGCACGTGTGTGTTGTGTGTGTGTGTGTGTGTGTGTGTGTTGGTCTACCAGGGTGTAATGTGAACCACCCTGTTCAGGGATGGGTGTGGCCTGAAGTAAATGAGGCAAAAACCAGACTGAGCGGGAAATCAAGCAGAAGGAGCTACCAAGATGGGAGGAGAATGAAAACAACCAACGGAGGAAAGGAAAAGGAGTGAAGAAGAAGTGGACTAGAATAGGCTTGTAGGATGGTACAGCACATGAAATAAGATGGCAGTTTTCCTCTGTGTGGGTGGGGTGGAGCTTACAGTTCATTTACTGTAGAGAGTAAGCTATATTATCTCCGACTCATTCTAGTATAAACTAATGAGGCATGCATTAGCTCACTTGCTTCTGCAACCTGAGTTGACTATTAAACTCCAATCTAATTAGGAATGCTTTAGTGAAAGACGTAGAGAGCACATGTGATTACAACTACCGAACATTAAAGTAGGTTACTTCCTCAACATATCACGTGCATTTTAAACCCTCCTATTTATATTTTTGTCAGTCACTGTGCAGCTCAGAGGATCACATGCTGCATCACACTTTTCCACCTGTCTCATCAGTTATTATGTTGCCTTTATACTAATGCAGTAATGTAGCTGTAAATAAGAGCCGTTTAAAACAGATTTAGTATCAGTGTATCATTCCTAACCTGTCTGCTGAGTAGTTAATCATTAATACACAAAGTTACAAAGCTGACTTTAAATCAGGGAGTCCAGGCAGCCATTATCCTTCTCCAAATATTTACCCCACTTTGACATAGCTGAGCTGTCTGTGCTGCACCAAGCAGATACACAGGCAACACAAAGGGCTGAACTCTGGGGTTAAGGCCAAGTCTAAGGCCAGTGAACACCCACACACGCATGTATATTGTACTTGCGCGAACACAGGAACACACACCACAACTCTTTTAATTCTGTGACCTAGATGAAAACTCGGTTCTGACTGATTGTCTTGCTTGAGGCTTATATCATCCACATCTGATTAGTGTTATGAACATCTTCCCATGAAAAATTGCAATTTAACTGGTCCTGCTGTTTCTGGTACAAATATATTCCCTTCTCTAATTCCCTCAGCATGCACTCTACAAGCATGGTTTAGTGCAGGACCCATGTTTGTGTGTGCGTGCGTGCGAGTGTGTGTGCCATGTAAAAAAGACGACAGAAAGAGAGAGAGTGGCTGTTGGGGAAATGACTGGGTTTGGGTGTGACCTGCTCAGCTATGCACTGGCGATCATGTGAGACCTGTTCTAATTATACACTTCTCGAAAAGAAGGTCGATCCTCTCTCATGGACAGAAAGTGTGTGCACATGTGTCCAAGAGGGTGCATTAGTGTGTGTGTGTGTGTGTGTGTGTGTGTGTGTGTGTGTGTGTGTGTGTGTGTGTGTGTGTGTGTGTGTGTGTGTGTGTGTGTGTGTGGGTGCAGAGGGTGCAAGACTAGTCATGGGGAGTGATGTGGTTTCATGTAACACAACTAAATTGAGAATTTGTCCTATTTCAACAACTCAACCTGTGTGAGAGTGAAGTAGGACAAGTGATTTTTGTCAGTGAACGTGTTTGTGGGTTTATGAAATGGTAGAAGTGTCACAACGTGATGAAGGTGTCTGTGCTTATATGTTTTATGTTTAGGTCTTATCTGCTGGTGTATGTATGCAAATACAGCAACAGCCTTCGTTTTAGATTTCCTCTATTCTTCCTTTCTTTCTCTTTCTCTCGCGCTCTCTCCTGCTGTTTTTTCCACTGTGGGTTTTAGAGACCTGCTCTGTTTTTCATTACCAGTGGAAAAAATGGGGCGATTGGTTAAAAAAAGTATCACCCATCTCCATTAATACAAAAGTCCTAGTGGAAAATGAGTCCAAACTACTAAAATAGGCCCCTGGGTTCCTTCAAATAGTTCCATATATCTGCCAGCTACTCCTTTCCAGTGGCTGACCTCGACCTCAGCATGAATGACAATTTAAACATATGTTCACGTATCGAGATCCTTCCGCCTGTAGATAAAAGTTCCACTGTTTTGTCGGTGAATGTGGTCACCGTATTGAACTAAGGGGCCTGTGAGGTCCAGATAATCAGGAGGACACTTGTGCGTCGTGCTTTTGTAGCAGTTTCATTGCTGCTGAAGGATTCCAGTTTCTTTCAACTTAGGACTTCCTTTTGTAGTTTTGGCCACAATTTTATTGGTTATTATAACATTTTACACACCCAATTCATTTCTGAGATCTAGGAAAACAGCAACATCAGTGAAACGATGAGTCAGGTCATATCACCAGTTGTAAACAAGCCAACAGTTTAGCGAGATTATTTACTTCTTTATGAGGACGTAAAACCACAAATGAGTACATCAGAAATGTTTGCTATAATCACTTATTGCATTGTAAAACTATGCTAAGTATGATACATCATACTTAAATATGATATTATTTAAGTATAATATTATTTACATACTTAAAACCAGTCTGATCGTATGACTGCTTGTGCCTCTTGCCCTGTCAAGATTGTTTTTTAGCAAAGTAGCCACATTCCCAGATTTTTCAATTAAATTGGAAAATCTCTGAAATAAGGAAGTATGACGGTGGCAGTTCCCATCGATAGGAATGATGCCCAAAACTATAAAAGTAGGAGTCAAGAATTATCATTTAATCTAGCTTGTCATTTTGACAAACATACACACACACATGCAAGGCGTTAGCAGATCGTGAGGAAACTTGGGAAGAGTAAGGCATGGGCCTGACAATGTTCCTCTGTCCACATCTGGTTATAAACACTGTTCTCTGAGTCGACTCACACACGCTGTCCTCATCATAACCCTGCCCTGCTCACACACTGCCAATGACCACGAGTCACCAATGTCTGCAGGGGCAGAATACAAACAGAAGTAAAAAACCTGTGTGTGTATATGTCTGTGCTGGAAAATTTGGGTTGAGGTCCACTCATCTCTAGAGATCCTGTGCTCTGATAAAAAGACAGATTGTGAAAGAGTGAGAATGAGGGAGTGAAAGAAAAAGAGGTGTTTGCCTTCCTGCTGCCGTCTACAAATGGAAAATTACTGCATACGGTGCCCCAAATCTGCCCCCAACTTTGCTCTAAAACACACATGCGCACATACAGACACACAGAAACCCCCTCTAACTGCCCCTAGGCCTCTACACAGGAAGTGGTTTGACTGGGTGAGAGCTTCATGATGATGCTATCGCCTCGTTCCTTGCTAGCTGTTGAGACGTGTTGTGCTCAGGGCATCCATCTGAGTTTGTACATGTGACAGCCGATTCATTTGTGTTTTCCTATTCAAAAGCTGGCACATGGCAATGTTTATCACTTCCAGAGGGTCTGTGCTGATGTTGTAAATTCATACAACTGTGTTTATGTACAATGTAATCAGTTGGAAGTGCGACTAACTCCTAAATGACTCCTGTTTGAACTAAATGCAGTAAACACCAGTCAAGATACTTCAGTCTGTCCTAGAAAATTCCACAGTACTGTGTTAGAAACGCCTGACTTCTGTTTCCTGAATCTAAAAAGCTGAACCCCCCCTCCTTTCTGTGCCCTTGATCACACGTTCCAGTCACCTGACCAGAAAAAGGCGGGACCAAAGACAGCACATGCCCTGGGCAGATGGTGCACTCTAACATATGATGTTAACTATAAACTACTGATATTTCCAGTTTGTAACTCCACACATTCCCTTAAACTACCTGTCAGACTGAATGTGCTCAGTCTCTTATCTGTGGCCTATGTCTCTGTCTGAACTCTGACCTCCAGACATCCTGTTCACCTCCTCCCGTTTCTTACCTTGAGTGAGTCGAAGCAAGCGATGACCCGTCCGTTGTCCACCTGACAGCTCTTGGCCGGATGAGCGAACTTGCACTCCTGGTCGGAGCGTGAGCACGTACCCCTCTGGAACTCCCTACATACCTCCAGTGTCAGCCACTTTGTGTCACGGATATGTGCTATGTTCATCGCCATGGTAACACGCTGGCAAAAGGTATTCCAAGCTGAGATCTGTTTAAACGTGAATAAAGTACCTCTAGTGTTTTAATCCACAACTTTAAGGTCTCTTTTTGTTTTTTTTTGTTGGTGCGGTTAAAGTCTGTGACACTCGTGTGTGAAGCTGAAATGAAATACTCAGAAGGAAAGAGAAGCTCCTATTGATTGAGACGGCTCCTTGTCCAAAGTGAAATGTTACAGCACAACGTTTCGCTGGGGATGCTATTGGATCATTTTCCTGATCCAACAACCACTGACAAAGGGATTATATCCGGGAGATGACTTAGCCTAACAATTAAGTTGCCACTCTTGGCTTGACTTTTCTCTTTCACTGTTTATTGCTTGCTGAACAGTCTCATCTACAGCATTCATAAGCCAAGGTGGCAAACAGATGGACAGGCCAAACTGAGAGCCCTCTGGTTCGGTGCAGTGAAGCAGGCAACAAAGGTGATAGTCTGGGTGTAGCCTGCTACAGGTAGGTTAAGGACACTGAGGACCCAGTGGAGGCTTAGAGGGTCGAAGGCGAAGGTTAAAGGCAAGGTGGGTGAGATGCTGCGTGGGCCTGGTGGTGTATCGGGCTGCTGTGGTAAGGCTGGTCAGCTGGTGGAGAGCAGTTGGCAGCGAGGCCGTCTGGTGAGGAGAGCTGAGGCTGGAGCCCTGCCGCGAGGAGTGGATGGTGATGATGGTGAATGGACGAGTGGGCCGGAGCGTAGGCTGCGAGGAGGGTGTGGTCGCTGTCCTTGTACTCGTGTTACTGTGGCAGCAAGCGAGCGAGGCGGGGGGGAGGGAGGGTGGAGCTTCAGCTGTAGAAGCAGGTCAAAGCTGCAGCAGACATCAGGGAAGGCACTTCCTCTGGGGAGAGAGAGAGAGAGAGAGATAGAGAGAGAGAGACACAAAAGAAAGAAAGACAGAAAGAAAGATTAGTCTGATGATACACGTCCAAAGAAAGCTTTCACCTTTATTTTCTCACTCATTTATCTTTCACAGGAGGTTCTGACCTGCAGTGTTTTTTAAAGTCATGCCACTAAGCCTTGCAGCTGTGGGAATGAAGAATATGTAAAAATGTCAGAAATGCAGGGGTGTCAGCTAAAACAAATAATACTTTCACCCGCCCTGCGCTCTAAACACACATAGTGCGCACACACGCTCATCACGCCACGCCACACACAAACACACACACAGATATGCACAAAGCAGCCATTCACAACTTTCCACCTCTTCTGGTCGATGCAGGAAAATCAGATCAAATCCTGTATCACTTACATTTGAGTACAGCAAAGCCGGCCATTGAAAATGTGTTTAGAGGTGAAAGAAAGGAAGAGAGTGAAAGCAAGGGGGAAGTCAAGGCAGGGCATGAGGGAGAAGAGGTTAGTCATTTCCCTTCTTGCGAAGAGGTGTGAGAGTTGGGACCAATGAGAGCTAGTAGAGTTGCAGCAACATTCTGGGCTGAACGCCAGGTGAGAACAGGGGGAGGAGCAAAGAGGAGGCTGACCTGCCTGCTACTGGGGAAAGAGAGAAAGAGAGAGACAGACTGAACTAATAACTCTGCTATGACTACTTGATTCCTCGTGAACAGATGATAAATTTCTTGAAGACAAACAACCTATCATGAAAGGCCATGTTGCAATGATCTCACACACTTGTGAACCTGTCTGCTGTGATAATATAATGCTTATTATTTCACTTTTATAATGTCCCATTTATTACATGCAGAAGAAATCATGGGTTGTTTTTTTGTTCAGAATTTTGTAATGCTGCCAGTGGTTCTATTTTTGGTGAATCCATTGTACAGGGTTTGCTAGGGGAATTTGAATGATTGGGCTCCCGGGGGCCCATTCTGCTCTTATCGCACAGGCAGGGTAACTCACCACACCCTGTGTAGCGAAATCGCTTTCCCCAGAACAGCATGTGCCCCTTCAGCAATCCTACGAACCACTGCTAACTTTACAGCACTGCAACACTGCAACACGCTACATCAGAGCCCTGCAGCAGCGCAGCCCAGGTCATGATGACCCAGCAACATGGATATATGTTGGAGAGAGAGGGAGAGAGTGAAGGAGGAAACTGCTTAGTTTCACCTTGGATGACCCATACGATAGCAAAAATAGCATCACTGCTACAAATGACCTTTGGATTGCTAGCATAATCGCAACAGAAATGTTACAACTGCCCTACCCTCACCACACACACACACACACACACACACACACGCACACACACACACTGGCGCACACATAAACACACAAACACTGCAAATTATCTTCCATAACATGTACTTTAGACATAAAATAAATTCCCTTTTCAATAATATACAAACATGAAAAGATATATCACCTCACTGCTCAATATTTTCAAATGACAGATCGTAACATTTTATTAAATGCTGCTATTTTTTAAATGAGAAGCATTAATGTTTCTTTGTCAGATTAATAGCCCTTTCATACCAAAATAAATTTTTGACCAAAAGCGACTGGACTGAATGTCTTGTTTTGGAATGAAACGAGTCCAACATACGCCATTTTTATGTTTTCATTACTTAGGGCATGCCTCTGTTCCCATGAACTTACTCTCATTCATCATTTCATCTTCATTGCTGTGAAAATGTCAAGTCAGCCAAGTCTAATCTTTCTGTGTAACCCTGTATACCCTGGGACCTGTGTTTTTAATATCTCATAATGTTGATGTTACTTGTATTTGTTGCTCCAGCTCAGTCTGACAGAGTTGAAAGCAACGCACTATTACTCCACAAATATACTTTTTCATAAGTTAAATTCAGGTGAGTAACGACCTTTTCTGAATTCATCAGACTGAACTCAAGGCACAGCTGGAGATGAACTAATGAGAAACAGAGACACCTATTATATACTGTATATAGAATTTTTTTTTAAATTGAAGGCGCCAGGGGCTGTCTTCAATCATATGAGAGAATGTGATGACTTGATACATGAAAAGCAAACGACCCCTGCTTTTTGTGTGGCTGCCTAATCGGTTTCTATGGTTTCTATTAGAGATAGACGAACGGACATCTGTATGAGAGAGAGACAATGTAGTATGGTGTAAGACAGTGCCAGAGTGATAATGAGGGCTCATCATGATCCATCATGTCTGGACATGGCCATCCTTCCCCTATTGATTTCTTCATCTCAATGGTCTTTCATGTCAGTATGCCACTCCCTCTATCTAATTCCACTTGAACTGTCAGTGCTCTTTGTCTCCGAGGCATCCATTTAAAATAGATGACTGTTTAATATGATCTACTCCTTTCCTCTAACCAGACGTTATTCTGTTTTAACCAGTGGATCCTTGACTTCTTTGGTATTCCTGTTCTCTCCACCTCCCTCAACTCCTTCCATGCTTGTGTCTTTGTGCCCTCAATGTCACTGTCTGGCTTGCGTTCTCTTCCAGCACCCTCATCAGCACTCCCTCAGATTCCAAGGTCTTGCAAGCTGGTGCAAGGTCAACCACACTGGAGGAAGAGGAGATAGCGAGAGAACCAGCAAGAGAGACTGTATGCTTCCTATAACCCTTTTGGACACGTGGTAGAAACATTACATGGTTGCAAGAAGAGGAAGTATGTCTTCAATATTAGCACATCACCATCGGCTCATGGTCATGTGATGCCCGCATATGCCTCAACAGCTCAGACAGTTTCTGACATGAAAAACAAGCCTGCCCGTCTTTTCCTTTCTCTTGGTAATGAGTCAAACAACAAATCTGTTCTCAACGCTGTCGAAATCCACCCTTCACCTTCACCAAAGCGCAAACTATGCATAAAACCTGCCAGTGATTTGCTTGGTGGACTGTGATGGATGGTGCTCTGACATTATGAGGTTTTCTTGGACAGAGAGAGATGTTTTGTTATGAAGACATGTCTCAACTGATTGAAAAGTTAGTACAATCAAAGCAACATACTAATCTGGGCTGATCTTAAAGTTGTCATTATGACCAACTGCAAGAGACAACAAGGAAGAGGGTGTGGTTCACAGTTATGATAAGACTTCCTGAAAAATGACTTATGCTATATTAACTGTCTAGTTCAGCATGGACCTTCAGCTCAGGTCATGTTACTGGAGGCACTGCATGCTCACATAAGAAATAATACACTGGGGCGAACTGATGCAGTATGAGTGGAGATAAAGGGAAAATAAAGATATGCTACTTCTATATTGAAATATCTGCTATGGCGCCCGGGAGCTGACCGACAAACCACAGCTTCTAGCGGAAGTTTTTTTTTTTTTTCAGCTTTGACTGCAGAGAAAGAGCCGTTCATCTCCTTTGGTTTGCTGCTGTTCAGTAAAAGGAGTGGTTTCAGCATATTGACAGAGGTGTAGTCAGGGTGACAGTGTGCTGAGACAGGTCATCTCAGTGGAGGACGCTGGAGGAAATGCAACACCCTAGGCCTCGCTGCTGCCGCTCCATGTGCTCAGGTTATAGCATGTCAATGCTGCCCTCACTGACCTTTACGTAAACACATACACACTAGTGCATACACTGACATGTGAGCATGTTCTCCTCACTGACTAATGGCTGCTACCCTATACACCATAGCTCTTCTATGCCACCTTTCATATTGTTGAGAGATCTCACCAAGTAAGGTCTGCTTAAAATTAATCTAAGGGTCAGGGTTAGGGCAACTAATACACTGTTTGTTTAACATCTTATTTTTGAGTTTGGATGTTATGAATAAAGTTTATTGATGACACACAGCTGATACAGACGTCCATGCTCCAGACAGTAGTTACACAGTAGTCCTGACCATAGTTAGTATTGTTACCATTCTCCCTAGCGTCATCGTCAAGTCATCATCTCCTCTCAACTATTAGTTTTACTGACTTATTTGTCATCGGATTAAATAACGCGGTTCTGAAAGAGTCTTAGGCAAGGAACACACAAGAAACAAAGCCTATTGATTCCTCTGAGAGCAAACCTTTGTAGACAATACGATCTCTTGTTTAGCATACATGGACAGAGCTATGCGCGCACACACACACACACACACACACACACACACACACAAACTGACAAGACACACAAATGCAAACCTATACAAAACACACAAACCTCTATGTGTCCTGACACTGAGTATTCTTAAGCTGTGGTGAATATCTGACTGTGTGCAACACTGCATCTTTGTGTGCATATGTATGTGTAAGGATGTGGTGAAGTCAGCGGGCTGCGAGGATAATGGCTGTCCTTACGGTTTAATGAGTGGCTCATTGGCTCAAATTTATGTTGTCAGCGTCAACGTGCTGAGACGTGATTTGTACATATACAGGCAGGTGACAAATTTCAGAAAAATCTGAATCAATAAGTGAAGAAGCATAGCAAGTGAACAACTGGTGAGTATTAAAACAATGTAAATCTATAAACTTAATAGTCATCAGATCTCAACCTAATAGAACACCTGTGGGATTTTGAATGGGGATATTAGATGAGGCAATATCTTTTGGAGGAATGATGTTTATCCCTCCATTAGAGTTTAGCAAAATTTATGCTATACTGAAATTAAGCTGCAGATCATGGTGGATCAACACCTTACTAAGACACTGTTTGTGTTGCTTTTTCCCATTTTATTTGCATCCATCTGTGTATATACACATATGGTTAAACCTAGTTGTTATCCCTCAGGCGACAATGAAAATTTACAGACAGTAATATATAGTGTGGGCCAATGAAAAAAAAAAAATTTCTTTTCCAAATACATTCTAGCCGTTTTGTGTAATTAATATCATATTATTTATTTAAATATATATAGAACAGAATCTTTTTAATTCCTGAGCATACACATGAATGTCTAATCATATATGCCAATTATCACAAGGCACACACAGCACCTACGTTTAGCTTTTTTGTCAGCATATTACATGCACACATACGAAGCCAGTGACCAGTTTTATCTTCTGCATTAGTTATCTTTAGAATTTTCATTTAGGCAAACATTTTAATAGAGGGCCGATGATGCTAATGCATGTAGCATACCCACATTCTCTGACTTGTGTAGAGGCCTGTTTCTTAATATACTGAGGCAAATAGACCCAGTCACAGTGATACAGAAAGAGTGACAGAAAGAGACTGTGAGTGAGAGAAAAAGACTGTATGGGCTGGAATGTATTATTTCATTTTTACAACTGCCTGTCTCTATTTTACAGATGGAGAGTTTTAAGATGTCAGGGCTGTGAGCAGGAGCTGATGCACCTTGGGTGAAGAAAAACAAGGGCAAGGCTTGTGTTGACATGTGTACTTCTGGACAGAACAACAAAGAAATAACCAGATGCTTATTACTGACTCCACAAACAGCAGCTCCACACGCTACTTGCCCTGCTGATTAGGAGTGTTGTGTAGTTCAGATACAGGTGAACACTGGTGGTTTTGTAGTCTCTTTACTGAAATGTCTGAAAACAGAAGCCTAAAATTATTACTGGTTGCTTGATATGTTGTATGGCGAGTTAAAGACTCAATTAAATTCAATTACTGGTGTAATAAAGAACTGAGTCTCCCACAGTTGTTGAAGTCAATTCATTTTAGCTTAGCTTGGAATTTTGTTAAGTGGAAGGTGTCTTACTCAGCCAAAGCTGTGTTAAACTGTTGCTCAGAGGGGTTGAAATGTGGTCATAACACAGTAGGAACATACAGAGAAGCCCCTCGTGTAATAAAGGCTTAACCTGTCAGCGCATATTCAGCCATGCACATAATCCTGTCTGTAGGGCAGATCCTAGATCATAGGCAACGCACATTCATGCAGAGCAATTTGCACCTGAATTCACATGCATATACAACTGTACGCAGAGACAGCAGTGTGATCTTTGGCATTATTGCCTACTATATTCACATTGACAACAACAGCACGTTCCTCAGGCTCCTGCCAGACAGAAATTGACAGTCTACCTGCAGCAGGGCTACCATGGGGATTTTAAGTCTCAACAATGCAATCTGCCAAACATCTGTCTGTGTTGCGCATGCTTGCATGTACGCACATACTTGTGTGTGTGAGCTACTGTCTGAGCCACACTGAATCCTTCTAAGTCACAACAACAACATTCCTCATCATTGCCCCAACCACAGACACACCACCAAGAGGAAGCCCGGAGAGGCCAGTGGGAGGAGGGCAGAGGTGGTGAGGAGACGGACAAAGAGAGGAGAAGAGGGAGTAAAGGCTAGAGTTAAAAGCTCTGAAGGTTCTCGAGCTCTAGCTCTGTATTTTACCAGATGTACGTCCTGCCGTTATTCAGACAGTTTTTGCACTCTACGAAGGAACAAATGTTTACAAAAAACATGGAAAAAATCGTACTTGAGTCTGATAAATAGCCAGTTATTATCGCTATGAAAACACTTTCTGCCATTTATCTTAGTATGATCCACACAGACGGATTTAACTCCTGAAAAGAATGAAAAACATTACCGGGCAATCACACGTAATCTCCCAAAGCCTTAATAAAGTAGGAAGTTACTTACTTTTACTACATCGACAAGTAAAATCCCTCCATTTACTGGGTCTCCTTCTCCCTGTCTCTCTTTCGTTCTTGCCCCTTTCCTTCTCTCTTCAACTTTCTTCCTCTCTCTCAGTTACTCCCCCTCTGTCAGACGCATGCAAACACTCACTTAGTCACACACACACACACACACACACACACACACACACACACACACACACACACACACTCACACACACACACACACACGCACACACACACACACCCACACACACACACTCCCACAGACAGAGTCACCCTCTCACACACTCTCTCTTCCCGCGACCCGGAATGCTTGGCAAGATTCTACTGTACTGAAATACTGTGCTCACCATATAAGGTAGCAGCGGCTTCACATGTCACACATAATTTACATGCAATGGGGCGGGAGTTTGCCTTACACAGTACACACACACGTAGAAACACACATACACACATGCAAAACCATGCTTCCCCCTTTAGGCTGACGCAGCAAAGGAGGTAAAAGAGGTAAAAGAGAAACAAATTTTACCCTTCCCCTTGTTAACCAAGCCCTGGAGGATAACTCCCAACATGTCTAATGTTGAGTCAGACGAAGGGAATGAAAGCTGAGTGGGCGATCTATTGATCCTCTCCACTGCTTCCTGGAACAACCACGGCCCTCCAAACACACACGCACACACACCAGCAAATTTTCTTGCTAACTAGCGCTACCCTCAGGAAGTAGCTATTGTGTGACTGGCTGCTTTGAGCCAAGAATGTGTCTAACTGTGTGTGTGCATATGTCTGTGCATGTGTGCGTGTGCCTATATCTATAAAACAAGCCGTAACAAATAGGTGTTAACCCTGTGGCCCACATACTGGATGCACACACACAGCACACACTAAAGCAAACAATCCTCATATCTCTACCTATGCTCCACTGCACAGGCGCTACTTTGGAAAGTAAAGACTGCAGCATACACAGGAGGAAAGATCTAGATAAACCAATGAGACAAGGAGGAGGGTTATGAACCAAGCTCTTACCTCTCACATTGCTCTCCAGTTTGTGTATGTGTGCTTCCGCGTGTCGATTGACTCTGTGTGTTTATGCGTGTGTTCAGACAGGCCGCGACAGCAGACCCCCAGGCACCGGCTGGACCATTCTCAGGCAGGCAGGCAGAGCGCAGCAAGGCAGAGGGACTGGCAGAAGAGAGGCAAGCGAGTGAGCGAGTGAATCAGCAGCGAATGAGTAGAGGAGCTGTGCGGAGCCGAGCACCAGAGAGAGAGAGAGGGAAAGAGAGCAAGAGAGAGAGGAGGAGTGTTTGTCTGTGTGTGTGTGTGTGTGTGTGTGTGTGTGTGTGTGTGTGTGTGTGTGTGTGTGTGTGTGTGTGTGTGTGTGTGTGTGTGTGTGTGTGTGTGCATGCGCGCGTTGCAGCGTTGGCTGTGCGCTAGTGTCTCCCCTCCCCTGCCTCTTGAAGTGGCTGAGCTGGGCTGTGCTGAGCTGTGCTGAGACGGGCTGGGCTGTGTCTCTACTGACTCCCCAGCCTCTGGATCGTCTGTCTGCTGCCCGACGAAAGTGGTGTTCGCTGGGCGGCAGTAGCAACAGCTGTCGAGGAGGAGGAGGAAAAAGAGGAGGAGGGAGCCCTGACTGCACTGGGCATACAGATCCTGCAGTCCCCTCTCCCTCCCTCTCTTCCTCACTGAAGGAAAGCCACGCCCCCCCCCCCCCCCCCAAAAAAAAAAAAAAAAAAAACAACACCAGGAAGTGCTGGCTCAGTTACAGCAACGCTGCCCTTGCCTTTCCAGTGAGGCTGAGGAAGGAGAGAGTGACGAGGGAGGAAGGAAAGATTGAGAAAACACAGTAAGAAGATAAAGAGGGAGGAAAGAAGGAAAAGAAGGGGAATTAGTAACATGATAAACATATAAGCAAGGGAAGTCCATGAAGAGTGAGGAAAGGCATTAGAAGTTAAAGCTGTGACAGTGATATCAAATGCAACCAGACAGGAAAAAGTGATACAGAAACAAGTGAAACAAGGGACTTTGAGGTAAGGAAGAATAAGGAGAAAAACAGCAGCTGGAAAGAATGAATAGATTAAGGAGTGTGGGGGAAAGAATTATGGAAAGATTTACAGGGAGTTTGTGACAGATTAGGTCTGGCTTCTGTCCGGATCACCTCTCTCTTTTTCATACTATTTGTCTACTGTGGCATGCAACCCTCAGACACCTCAGCTCAGCATCACACTCACAGCTCTTGCCCACAATATAGAAGCAGAGCACACTGAACTGCACTGAATCAAACTGGACTCTGCTACTACGTGGTTATTAATTCAGAGTAACATGAAGCATGTAAATACTTGGGAAACAACACAAAAAAGCATACCTGTGCAGTTTGGTTGCAGGTCAGCAATATATCATAGAAAGGCTAACCGAGACAACACTGAGGTAACTTGCTGTTGCCAACTCTCCTGTATTGTTGTTGACTCAAGGATTCTGCCGCCACAACCCCAGCATCCAGGGGAAAGCCAGAGTGGCTAAAGGAGCCTCCAAGAATTTGATTTGGACCTGATGCTGCAATATCCGGTAGCCATGGAGATAGTGGCCTTGGCATCTGCAGGAATCTTTACAGATTTTGAGCTGTGTGCTGATGCCAAGTTTACTGACTGATCCTTCATGTTGTCTCTGACTCACTTCATTTTATTGTGATCAAGGAGAGAGTGCATTCATAATGATGCCTGTTTAGAATATTGAGAGTGGCTTTGCAATGTATTCTAATTTATAGAGAGAAGATTCCACATACTGCAGCTGAATCCACTTTGTCTGAGGTCACACCTGCACCTATAATGCCATGTGCTGATATATTAGCCTGGTCACAGGGAGATGTAAGAACTCCCTCCTTCTTTGGTTTATTTGCATATACATGTATAATACTGCAAAGAATATACCAATGCCTCTCCTATGTAAAACTGTCACGCCTCAGCTGTCTTTCTGTTCCACTCCTTCCCTCCCTCTGTCTCTGGACCAGTTTCTACTGCTGCACAGCTCTGTTTAATACAAAGCTGGTGATAAGTCATCTCTAATTTACACAGCAGGGCCTTAAACCCCGGGTGACAATCTGTGGTAGAGCCCCAGCTGCAGTGCTAACCCTTTACCTAGCCAATATTCTGGTGCAATGTGCCTGCACACTCACAGAGCACAAACACACACTGTATACCTCAGACAAACAAGGGATGTCATAGTACTATTTTTGAACTGATCAAATTTTGATGGACAGTGGCATTATTAGTCACAACAGCAAAGTACATGCCTTGATCTATTTCAAACCATCATTCATTAGTGATGGAAGGAGGTCTATTTCCAACCATGGAAACAGCCCTGCTTGAGCACATATAGTATGCTTTTTGGATTAGCAGAGCCATCTGTTTGACTGCTAATCAATGGGAGCAGCAGGTCATTCTAACCTGCAACTGGAGTTTTTCCTTGACCCATTATGAAGAAACATGGTGATTGATGTTGTTGTGGCACAATAGGAGACACATTAGCAACGCCTCCAAAGGTCTGGGCTCTCTGTGAAACTCTGACACTGACGTGGAATTTCCCCTCTTCTACTGCAGCTGAGAGTACGCCAATGCTTCTGCTCCTCTCTGCGTCTTTCTCTTTCTCCTCTGCAACGCTAGTCCATATTTCCTACTCATTATCATTCTTCATATGCTATCTCCGAGTCTGTTTTTTCATCACTGTCTCTCACTTATGACTACATCTTAATTCCCCTCCCTTTGAAACAACCACAACCACTTCTCTATTTGTCACAACCCACAGGACCATATTCCCCTCGTCCAATTAGACGTATGAGTACAGAGCCAAGGTTTGCAGTTGCCAGATGGTTTGCTCATTCAGTAATACTGTCAGGTTTCATTTTGCGTATAATCTGATCAACTGTAAAACAGGGGCCTATTTCTCCTTTTCTGCCTCATATTTCTTTATTTGAAGTGACATCAGACATATGTCTTAACTTCCTGTTCTACATGTCTTGTATCTAACAGATAAGATGACGGTGTGACCGTTGTTCTCTCGAAGATCAATGAGGCTGTAGAGGTGTTAGGTTTCAGCAAAGAGCAAGAAGAATCAACATACTGGGGTTGAGCAAACTGCTCACAGACATACTAATGTTAACCAACCGAAAACAGGAAGAGGTATGTGTGTGTGTGTGTGTGTGTGTGTGTGTGTGTGTGTGTGTGTGTGTGTGTGTGTCTGTGTGTGTGTGTGTGTGTGTGTGTAGTTAAAGGGGACTTCCACTAATTTTACACATCAAGATCAGTGAACTACAAGGGTTATGAGTAGCACTCAGCCTGTGAAAACAGTTGTACAATGTCTTCTGTGGCTCTGGAGTGAATGTAACCTGAGTAATGTCACTATCAAATTGCATTATGGGGAACTGAGCTTGATCCACATGTAGGACATAAATCAGGGTATCGCAGTCTCTACTTCATCAACTCCGTTCATTATTTTTTTCTTATTATCAGTCTTTTGAAAGTCCCACAGATGTATAGCAGTGAAATAAAAGAATAAAAGAGTAGGAAGCTCAGAATATTCTAGAAACTTCCTCATGAATCACATTAACCCTAAGCCAAAACAGTCTGGCATAGGTGACCCCTTTGCCCCAATCAAACCATCAAATCCCTAACCCTTCACCTTTGTCCACCCTTTTTTTCTCGCGCTCCTCCCTGATGAGCGCATCTTTCCACCTTAAGCTTCTCTATCATCTCAACGCTCTGCTATTTCCCAGCTCTCTGTAAATGACACTGGCTGGCTGATGTGAACTCTCACTCCACTGAGGAAATGTCCCAGAGCTTTTGTGTGCCATACTCTGACAGCTCATCTATCACTAAGGCTGCAAATACATATTACACTCCCATTACAGACCATCACAGCAACAACTGTAACAGTACACAGTGTTGCAGAAAGGCCCACAGCAGGGAGGAGCATTCAGCCATTTCTCTATGGTTTATTTTGGAGGCCGCAAACAACTTCTGTTTATGTTATGTGTTACTTTATAATGTGTGAGGAATACACCACATATACAAAGATGCTATAAAAAATGCTACACTAAAAATGTGCATGACAGTGGGAAAAGTTGTAAATGTGTGTCTGCTGACAAATACCCCTATTCTACTGTGAATTTGCAGTTATGTTTCCCTGCAGCATACTTTGTGGTTTTCTCTTAACTTCTTTCCACTTTGACGCAGTAAGGGGAAGCAGGTGAAATTCAAGCTGTCAGGTTTGAAATACAGAGAGAGGAAATAGCACACTGTCTTGTCCCCATATGACACCACTGTGCATGTGTGTGTGTGAGTGTGTGTGTGTGCAAGATTCAAGCTTGAAGCTTATCTTGGAGATAAAACGAAAACGAATGGAAACACCCTTTGCAAAGATGTCTTTCACTTGGGCTTTCAGCTATTTTTCTGTCTAAACGTAGCCTGCAGATATACTGCTGCAAATATTATATAAACTCTCCTTACATCTCAAACGTCCTACGGACCCTTCATAGTGTAGAGAATAATAAGACAATGTTGCACGTTGGCTTTACACCAGCAGAGAAACTTTCCTCCTTTGCAATATGTAAGAGAAAGTAAACGAGAAACTAAGGCATCATCAATAACACAGTTACAAAATCTGAAGAAATAAAAAATAAAAACAACAACAAAACAAAGAGGAAATGCTGAATGATACGATATATCATTATACTATAGAGTCATTGTCAGTTATTTAAAGATATTTTACAGAGACAGCTGCTTACCTGCGTGTCTGTCTCTCGCTGACGTGCCACTGGGACAGACCAAGCCACTTCAACACAGGTCATGCTGACGCAATGCATTATGGGATGAACTAACATCTTTAATTCTCTCTTCTCCTACTTCTCTCACTCTCTCATAATAGCACCTTCTGCTTGGCAACGGCCATACCACAAATGTGGTCAGGTTTAGAGTGAACCATCACTGCGCAACACTAAGTCTCCATGACAACCACTCCTTTATCTCATTTGCATCTTCTTCTTGTATTATCTACTGATGCCAAATATGGTCACCTTGTTATTATCCCCGCCTCTCTCTGCGTCCCCTTCTTATAACTTCCTCTTTCCCTCCATTTTCAAACTGTGAGTATACACTTTGTGTATAATGTAAATGCGTCTACAGGCATGTGCGCATGCTTGCAGCCTGTGAATGTGTGAAAAGAGGAAGTTCCTGTGACATTAGAACTGTTTTG